TAAATGGCTTCGGGTTTCCTTTTGGTTTCCCTTCCAAACCACCCAAAAACGGGTTCCCTCAAGAAGACACCCATTTGTGTGTGTGCTTCGTTTTTGAGGGTCTCCTTTTCAGCGCTGCTTAAAGGGAAACTCAAAGGAAAGGGACCATTTTTGGGGTCCCGCTATGTTGACACACCCATTTACTGCCTTGTTCTCAGCAGGGTATCGTTAGTGGGTTTTCGGCTAACCACATTGACTTTGGTATCCAAGGTGGCGATGAATTTGCCACCGTCGCGGCTCCGAGCTGTTGCTGCTGTTGCTGCTGATTTCTGAAGCTTGCATGCTGAGACAGTCTTCCCTGAGTGCCAAGGCCCAACTTGCCTGGAAATTCAAGGAGTGGGGTTGCATCCTGGCTGATCGCTTGTTTTTTGAAAGCAGCATCCCGAGATTTCACTTACAGGGAGTCTTGCCCTCAGGCATCTCGGAGGAGGTTGATCCAGAGGAGGAATTTTGATGGAGCGCCTAGTGCTTCCGATAGTCTCACCAAAAGATCTAAACAGGTTCTAACGAACGGGCTCCAGCTTGCACAAAGGAGCATCCGAGCGCCCATTTGTTGGAAACCATTTAGGGTCGCCCAAACTAGCAAGTGCAGCATATTTTCGGCGGCATGAATACCTGCCGCATGCAGTAGGTTGATACATCCGAAGGCAACGGCTTTCGAGGAATTCACAAAGTTGAATCGATAGCGATACGTAATGCAAGGGCAAAAGTGCATTTTGTCTTGTCAGCAGTCAGGGGCTCCTAAATGGGTGCCAACAAATGGGTTCCACCTTCCACAAAAAGACAGTCATGCGTGTTGAATCCTGGGACCCATTTGTTGGAACCCATGTCACCCAAACGAGGCTGGTTTCACTTGTTAACTTGAGACCCCAATCAAGAATTCAGTGCGTGTCTTTCGCAGAACGTCCCAACTCCCAAAACTCTGCAAAGCAGAGTGGGGCGACATGCACAGACAGACAGACAGACAGACACACGTACACATACACACAAGCAGAGCAAGCGATTGCCAATCTTGGACATGTACGTGGTCGCGTGACTTGATATGGCCACGCAACGATCATGGGTTTTGGGGCAGTTTTGATTCGCTGAGTCCCACACTTCGCGAAAGTTGTCGAAGCAATGCAGACTTCGAAGAGCCGATCTGTGCAGGCGTCCATGCTTTTTTCCCAGAAGCCACCCACAGCTTCCAGGTAATTTTCGGCGTTTTTGTGGACCTCTTTCGTACTCAAATAAGAGGGCAGAGGCCCGCTAGGGCCCACGGCTGAATCCAGGAAAAGCCACAGGGTCCCTACTTAAACTCATGCCGCAACAGGTGTTGCCCTCTTGATTCTTTACATGGCCATGAATTTCAGCGGGGAACCCTCAAATGTGCTTGACATCAATCGTGACCGAATTCTGATGTCCACCATTTCGGCAATAACAAAACACGCCCCATATTTCCTGTATGTCCACACAACTTCATCATTCTTCTCAAAACTCGTTGTCCATAGATTTCTCCTAAATGTCCCCTATACGCGCCACGCGCCCATATTGCCTTATATGCACCTATTGTCCATGCGTTTTCGGTTCGGCACACCTCTTTTCCAGCTTTGATCAGGTGCTGGCCTTGTTGCGCCGAGTGGATGCCACCGGCACCAGCAGACCTTCCACAGGCCCGGCGTGTACCCGATTGGCACCAGGGTTCAGAGGGAAATCAACAGGAAAGATGAGTTTCCGCCGGAGGGGCATGTTTTTCATGTTTGTTTGTTTTTGTCTCGGCTGGCTGCTTGCTTGGCTTTTGTGGCTTTCCAGATTCTCAGCATCACCAGCAGCGCTCCCCCAACATCAGAAGCAGCACCCAGCAAGCCTAAACCTACCTAAAACGCAACCACGGCGTAGCCCAACTCTAAGCCCACCCTAAGCCAGCCCGAAACCCACCCCCAAACTTGCCCCAAACGAGCCTTGAACCCAACCTGATCCCAGCCTAGACCAAAGCCCACAAATGATGCTGAGAATGTTGAAAAAGGTACCGGGGATGTTGAAACGCTGCCGGGGATGTTAGCAGCGCTGGTGCAAAATGAGCGCATTTCGCCTGACATGCTGAACAATGCAACATTTTGGCTCCAGAGGTGAAAAGACAAAGAACATTCGAAAGAAACAACTGCCTGAATTAAATCTCCCCTAAAAACTAGCCCAAGAAGATGAGCCCACGTAGCCCTGTGTTTCATTCATCCCTACTTGCGGCCTGTGGATTTGGTTCATCGTCAGCCTGTCAGGGCCGAGACCTCGCTTCAACTCGCCGACAAACCAGCCGACGCCGTTCACAGCCGGGCAGGCAGACGCCAGCGATTCAATCGACAGGGGCCGAGTTGTTTCCCTGCGAAACGACTCGTTCAGGTTCAGGAATTTCAGAACAGGTCTTGGTTTTGTCAATATTCCTTTATGTTGGTTTTTTACCGCTTTCGTCCCCATTTATGGTGAGTTTCCCTTAATGTTAGGTTGGACCTTTGGGAACCTCGAGCCAGCTACGTACACACTTGCGCGCCGCGCTTTTGCCTCAGACGCTGAAGAAGCCGGCGTTGGCTTCACCAGCTCTGCCGGCCGGGGGGCCTGGGCCGCCTTTGCAAAGCCGATTCGGGTAGGTGAAGCTTAGGGAACAGTCACCAGACAAAGGTGCAGCAACTTCCGGCCAGCAAGTACCAGATTTTGATAGTGACTCACTTGGCACACGTGCAGGAGGAAGATGTGCCAAAGATGGCGATCTACAATTTGGGCAAGGTCCGGAAGCCTTTGATTTGAACACCCCAAGCAACAGCCACACACCAAAGTGCCAGGACTGGGTCGTGGTTTACACCAAGGAGCTTGCTTCTTGCGCATGTGAGCAGCGCTCCAAAATCCCCAGGTGGCCATTTTAGGCGGTTCCGCCTCCATGTGGGTATGTGCCAAAACATAAGGGGACCTTCCAAAGTGGGTGGTTTTCCTTTTGGTTTCATTTGGAGCCAACCCCAGGATGGGTGCTCTCAAAAACGACAACCCCATGTTGGAACCCAAAGTCATGGTTTTCCGGGTGCTGCGGTTTGCATAGCTGTGAGTGACTTGCTCGAATACTGCCAGGATGGACGACCATACTACTTCAACCACGAGACGGATGAGCCGCCCCGGGCATGATTGACGGGCCGCTGCGTCCAGCGAAGTCCTGCTAAGAGCAAGCCAGATAGCATTTTGCCAACTCAAGTGAGCCACATTCAAAGCCAATTCGGCTAGATGAAGGTCAGCAATAACTATAGACTGTCAACTGGTTCGCAGGGCAACTTGGACTCATCCCTACACGGGCGTGGTGGTGCCACCGTCCAAGCCACCTGTGGAGATGACGCGGGGCTGCCAAGATCCTGGTTGCGTTGACTGGCCCAGGCAATTGGGCCATTTGGGTTTGCGTCAGAACAGGAAACCCCTCATGGTGGGTCCCATCTCAAGCGGACTGGGAGTGAATTGGACGGAGAGCAGTGTCCAATCCCCCATGTGAATCTACTTCCTGGCTTAATATGACACAAGCCTGCATAACTATTTGAGTAGAACCAAAAGTCAATCAATAGGCTTTGTGAGCGCCGCTCAATTGGACATTAGAAGGAACAAACACCTGCACGTGTGGCAAGCTGCCCATCAGGACGCTGCCGCCGGCCTTTCAGTGGATGGGCCGCGCGGTCTTCGGCTCCATCGGTTTATTGATGCCGGCGCCCTGATCGGTCAGGTGCGCCGATTGTTCCATCCCCATTAAGAGGGTGTGTATCCCCCCACAAGTGATCCGGATTTCCACTTCAATAGGGAAGCACACCCCCCGCCCTAAAGAAGACAATTCCGGGGTTGACGTTCATCCCGAGGAATCCGGATCAGTTTTGTGGGCGACACCCCATGAGGCAACCAACGTGTGGCAGTTGATAAATATTCCGGAAGGTTGTCTTTAGGAGGACTCTTTGATCAACCCCCGTGTGACGGGTAGGATGCATCAGAGATACCTGATCAGCAGTGCGATCGGATCTCTCAGAAGCACTTGCGAGTCAGGTTCTTCATGATTGTCGGTGGAGGTCCGATTCTGGGGTGCTGCCGTGCCTGTCTTTTGGTGCCGTGAGCCATGACCAAAGCCCTCTGCGGCCACCTGGGCCAAAAAAGAGCTATAGCCGGTGATAGCATGTCGATTTCCTGTTTGGAGTCCAGTCACAACCTTGCCCTGGCTGAGCCAAGAGGTGCTTTGGTCATATGCACGGCTCAAGTTTTGCAGTGAGCTGTCTTCGCAATCAGATCGGGTGTTGTAGAGTCTTACTGCAAAGCACATGTGCGCGGCGCAGGGGAGTGTAGTGGCTCAAGCGCAGTATCACTGCAACAAGTTGCTGCCCACCGAAGCACTTCATTCAAAAACAACGCACTCGCCAAGTCCTCCATTTTTTCAACCAGCCACGCTTTTTTTCTTTTTTCGAGCTTGGGCCCGAGCCTGCCTTCCAAACAGCTGGTGAGGCGACCGGCTTTGGTGGTGGGCCAGGGTGTTAAAGGGTTTTTGAGAGTGCGATTCACAATTCCTTTGGCACCAATCAATGTAGGGACTGCCTGGTATGGATCATGGCCTGTCTGGCTATGTACTAAAAACATCCCAGCTACAAATACACGTGGCCATAAACTTCAGCTTTTAACCACCTGCTGCAAGTTCATCGCACCTGCTCAGAAATAAATGATACCCCTTGCATGAAAACATTCGCCACGTGGCGCCTCGATCCAAGCAACATTCTCATGAACCTTGGAAACCTGTTGCAGCCAATGGCAAGCTGTCGTACTCGACTGCTGAAGAAGCGGCATACCGGCATACCCAATTCTTCTGTGCCACTTCAAACATGTTTGGTGCCGAATTCTGATGTCCAGCAAAGGGGCCCCTCTACAATTTCACACCCAGAACCGGATCTGTGGGCTTGGTTTCCTGTTTTCCATGTGCAGGCATGGCTGATGGCGAGGAGATCTTGGGTGCGGAGCCTGGAGAAAAACAAACCGAAAGGCATCGTATGCAACTCGGGTCCATTGTCAAGGTAGACGGCAGATACCCAGTTGATTTTCCAAAAAGCGACAACCCTGCAGTTTTAGAGCCCTGTCCATGCCCTCATTGCCATGGAACCTGGCTGGAGGTTTTGGGACCCATTTCCTCTGAAGACCCTCTATCCATGTTGGTGTAGCACAGGGTATCATGGTCGCGGGAATGGCAGGCGCATGGACCGATCAGGAAATTTCAAGAATGTTGTCGCAGGGAGGCTCTCGTCACCACGCAAACGGACTATAGAGAGTCGATTGACTGAAGCCACGCCAACTTACATCACCTGGTTTGTCTCAAAATAGGGGAACCCTCCAAATAGGTGGTTTCCTTGGGTTCCCTCTGAAATAATGCCAAAAAGGCGGCTACCCTCAAAAAAGACACCCACTGGCCGGGCTTACTTGGCACAGTCAGGCCCTGCAGGATTCATGGATATCGATGCGAGAATGGATGCCCTATACCCCGTGTGTTCAGCCGACGTTTTGCAAACGTGCCCAGGTCTTCCTGGCTTGACTACTACACAGTCCTGGCCTTAGAGTCAGCTACAAACCAAGTAGACTCCACGGTTCGGAGCGTGCTTGTTTCTGTTTTGCTTCGTTAAGCGAAGCCATGGACCCCAGATGGATGTGTCTTTCTTTAGGCAAACCGGTTTTCCGGGGCACTCAAGAAAGAAAGACCGACATGCTCCCAGGACATACGAAGACAAAAATAGCAGGCAGGGCGGTTCCGCTGAGAGCCCGAGGGATGACATGGGCCCGGCCCCGCACAGGACCAGCGACATTGTCGGCGAGCTTGACGAGCGGATATTGAGCTGGCCCGGGCTCCCGGAAAAAGAAAGAAGTCAAACAACAGCGGTCAAAACGGCGGTGGATGGCAGAAGTTTTTTGTGGCGAGGGGTTGACTAAGCCAACCATGGTTTGGAATTGTGCCATCCGCTTTCACCCCACTGTACTTGCCCGGCATGGTTGTCAAAAGTATGGCCCTTTGTCTGTTTGGGCCCTGGTGCCGCGGTTGTGCCTTGCGCCGCCTTTCCTGGGATACATCGGATAGGCGGATAGGGCCTGAATTCAAATTCCCCCCCCCCCACGGACAGGTGCGGGCATCCACCATTTGATTCTTTGCCACTGGTTTTGGGCACACCCTTCCAGTGCCAGGTTGAGAACCGCAGCCCAGGTTCAAGAAAAGAAACGGCGACACGCTCAAGGGCGCACTGGCCTTCATCCCTTGGGCCCAGCGCTCAATTCCGACAATGCTGCGGAGGCGGATGTTCTCGGGGCAATTTTTTTGTTTTTGTTTTGGAGGAGTTGGTTTTAACTGGACAGCCAAAAGACACCAACTCATTTGATGGAGTCACTATTTTGGGGCGCCCCATGTTGATGTTTCAAAGGGACAGCCAAAGGAACCAACCTTTCAGGAGGGGTTGTGGTCCACCCTGGTGCCACATACCCAAGGTTTTGCAACAAGCGAACTTTGAGGGCAGCCTGGAGAAGGGCCATGTGGTGATCCACCGGGGATCAGGACGCAAGATATGGGTCTGTCTTCTTTGAGGTACCACCTTTATTGTCAATTCAAAGGAAGACCACAAGGGAAACCACCATTTTGGGGGTCTCCTAAAAGTTTGATAAGAGACACATCCATATGGGTGTATCTTTTGGGCAACATCACGCATTTTGCTTGACCCCTGAAATGAGCAACAGGCGCGGGTGGGGGGGTCCGGGGGGTCGGGGGGTTGCATATATACCTACATATAATATACATATATATATATATATATATACATATATATATATATACATATATATATATACATATATATATATATATAATATACACACCTGCACCCCCTTATGGACCCAGGGTTTGTGCCTTTTGGTGACGATGGTCTAAACATTCTAAGGCTGGACCTTTCTCATGCTACAAAGAGCCATAGTGTAAACAACGCAAATCCCATTTTTATTTTCCTTGTAAAAGTCCCTTGAATGTTGGGCGCCATTTTATTTGAATGGGGGAGGGTGCCATCCATATGTATATATATATATATGTACGGAGAGGGGAGTGACTTGCTCCGCGATCGGTGATCCCAATCGTGCCATAGATGCAAGGTGCCGTCTGCCGCCCAGAAATTCTTTAAGTGAGACTACTTTAGTTCAAGTTTAGCTTTGATTGTGACTCAGAATGCGACCTTGTTTTTAATATTTAGCCCAACAACTGATTCCCATCGGCAAATGTAGTATTCTGCCTGGCTTCATTTGTGTTTTAGCAAGGCCTATGCAAACCTGCATAAGCATCTCAGTAGAACCCAAAGTCAATTGGTTCTGGGCCTCCTTTGGTTCTTGCATTGTTTGAACCACGTGGCGATCTGACTCTGAGCGGAGGAGCCGTTGTGTTCTCTGACGCTAGCGGTTTCACAGCACTGACAGAGAGGCTCGCTGCTTATGGCCGCGTGCCTTGCGTGTTTGCGGGGCTCCGGGGGTGTTTCTCAAAATAGGAGTTGGTGCCCTGCAATGGCTGGTTTCCTTTTGGATTGCGTTTAAGGGGGTCTACCTTTTTGAGAAACCTCCGGGAGGTGGGGGGGGGCGGGCGGTTGAGGCATGCGGGTGGCTGCTCAGGCTTTCGAAGAAAGATGATGGTGCTGAAAAACTGTCATTGTGCCAGAAGCCCAGCTGTTGGAAAGCAGCCCTTCAGATGCCATTTGTCCAACTTAAGGCCTGACCTCCTTCTTCACTCCCCTGATAGATATCATCAACTCCTACCGTGGAGATGTGGGGGCCTCATCCAGGACCAGACACCAAAGGAAGGAAAGTCATCAAATCTTGTGCATTTTGCCGCGGCCGGACTTATTTGCCGCCAGGTGATCAAATTCAGTGGCGACGCACTCACCATCTATTTTCAGGCAGGGCTTATGCTGCGCTATTTGCAGCACACAAACAAACATGTCGAGAAATCAACACCCCTGCAGGCAGTGGATGACACCAAGCATGAGAAGTACAACCACGTTGTTCCTCCACATGGTACATGGGGTTCGATGCTGAGCAACTGCCAGAATCAACTTGCCCTTTTTGACAGTATCATGAAAGGCTTTGGGTTTCGATTGTTAATCCTTTCAGCAGCCAGCAGTTCTCGCTGTTGCAGTCGGATCCGTCTGGACAGGGGAGCAGTGTCGGTTGCTGGCACTGAGGTTTGCCCGACCTCGGCCCTCAAGCAACAGCTGTTCTTCGGGTCAGCTGCCCAGCCATGGACATCAGGATTTCGTGGTGATTCATGTTCACCAATCAATTTCTGAGGTGGTTCCCTTAAAAACACGTATATTTCAGCAGTCGAGAAGGGACCTGGGCAAAACAACGGACAAACAGAGAATCTGAGTACGTGTCCAAATACGGCGACCCTACAAGTAGTGGTTTCCTTTTGCTTTTCCTTGAATCCAAACTGAAAAGGTTAACGCGCAAAAAACACAAACATATTTAGCTATAATGAGGAAAGCATTTGAGGAAGGGATGTGGCAACGCGATGCAGTGACACCGGGGGACATTTTGGGATAAAGTTTTTTCAGGCCTGTGCTTGCTGCATCGAGATCCACAAGCGCCTGCACATGTTTGACACAGGCAAGATTTGGGTGAAGTCAGACAAGCGCTTTGTCAGCGAGCAAGACTGATACGAGGTTTTGTCAACAAGCCCAGTCTATGGTCCATTTGGGGACGAACTCTACACTTCAACCACACACAATCAGGTGATGTGTTCTTTTGGGGGACCCCCACAATGGTGGGTTTTCCTTCCGGTTTCCGTTACAACCTACCTAAACAGGGGTACCCTCAAAAAAGCCACACCCATTTCTTCTTGGGAGAACATTCGTAATTGTGACCGTTGTCACTCGGGAGATCGTGGGCAGCTATCCCTCTTGCAGGCGTGGACAATGTTCGTCTCTGCCTGCACATCGGAGTGGGCTGTGGAGAGGTGACCATTCTCCAGGCGATGGATATTTCTACTTGGTACACTTATCATTGTTACCGTGCTTGTGGCCCTGGCTGATTTTGCCAAGGGGGTTTGTTTGTTAAAGAATCAAGCTTTGCTGATGCTATATATTACATGCACCTGGCCACATATTTGAGTTGTTTGAAAAGTTGAGTCTCCCGCGTGTGGGACTCACAGAGAGCTTCTGAAGGTCGGAGGAAGATTGCCCCCAGAGACGCGGGTGCCTCGATTGGAGTGCGCCTGCTCGAGATTGCGTCAAATGGTGTTCCACAGTGGCTGCAGCATCCTTGGTGGTCTCAGTGCCTTTTGGGCCCTATAGGTATGTGTCAAAATAGGGCGACCCCAACACAGGTGACTTTTCTTTGCTTCATATCATATGACCGTGAATCTGGACTTTCTTTAAGTTCACGCCCATATCAAACCAACCTAGAACGGGCACCCTCGAAGAACACCACGGGTTTGTCTCGAAAACAACGGGAACCCACACATGTTTATTTTCCTTTTGGTTTCCCTTCAACACCAACCTAAAACCGGGGGGGGGGGGCGGTTTCACCAAAAAGACAAATCCATGTGAGTGACATCAGGGGGACCCCAAATATGGCCGTTTTCCGTCCTGTTGATTTCTCTTCAAAACCAACCGAACAACGGGTGCCCCGAAGGCGAGCCTGCCAGGTACATCATCGCAGGCCCGCCCCTGGAGCAGATCTCCATTGCGGAGCCGCTCGCTTCGAATGGCGAGACGTGTCTCAGCCCGCAGGCGGGCGAAAATTGGGCTCCGGCGTCCCTTTTCCCTTTGCCTATCCAAGAGCAACTCAAAAAGCACATGGGTTGGTACTCCGCAAAACAGGGGTTGAAGGGCTTGCAGTTCTTGGAGAAGTCTGCATCGTAGCCAACGGAATGGGATTTGGGTGTGTCTTTTGTTCGGTGTGCTTTTCCTCTTGGCTTCCCTTTAGAACCGGCCAACAAAGGGGAGCTTTAGCCATGCTCCTGTGTTGGCAGGCCTGGCACTATGTCAAGGACTGTGTTGTGGAAGGCTCCCCTCTTGAGGACTGCCTGCGCGAGCTGTGCTTCGCCTTCTCTTGTCGCTGCAGGCTGACCGCGCCGCAAGGGCTCAAGGCAGTTCAGCATGGGGCTCGGGGTAGGTGGGTCCGGATGCCTGAGCGTCCGACGAAGTGGCAGCTGGTGCTGAAGCAAGCGCTTGGGCACCTAGCTGCGCGCCTCTTGGATGGCGGTGTTGGCGTTCGAGGCGTGGTGGATGTTGCAGTACAGGCGGGTGTCTCTCAAAATGGCAAACTTCCTTTTGGTCCTTTGGTTGGTGCTTGTACTAGGGAAACGAGAAGGACACCCAAGTCCCATTTGAGGAAGTGGACGATGTTCAGAACCTGCCAGGCCACTGCCAGTGCCTGGCAATGGCGCTGGGCGTTGTACCTCTTCGGACGAAACGGGAGCTCGATATCCCACGTGGAGGCGGTGGCTCGCGCGTGTTCCCGCGCGGATGAGTGGGCCATTACCCTGCGCTTTGTTCAGGAGATGTGGGACAGACACCAGGAGAGTGGTCTAAATTGCGGAGGGCTTTCTAAGAGGACGTGGGACAATTAGTGGTTCGTGAGTTTTTCCGTGTTCGTGGGGGAAACTTGGAGCCCAAATGGACCGTCGACAAATGGGACATTCGCAGGACGCGCTGCCCGCAGGGGTGCTGCACGCGGCATTGTACTCCTGTCCTCGAAACCTGTGGCCCCTCGCAGAAGCTCTGCTCGATCGACTGGGGCGACGCGCCTACGTCAGAAGCTACAACCTCGCACTGGCGCTGCTGCCCTGGAGAAGAGCCCTGAGCCTCGTGGCTGGGCCGGTGCCAGCCGTACGGTTCAGAAACTTCGGATTTTTGTAATGATGGATGCCTTTTGGTGAACCAAGCTTGAATTTGTCACCACCTCTAGCCATCAACGAGCTCAGGTGGAGCAGATGAGCTTGCGCAAACTCCCCAACGAGGCCAGCTTCGTGCTGCTGATCTCCGCCTGCGCCAAAGGCAAAGCCTGGCAGGTGGCGCTCCAAGGCGTGGAGAATTCCGTGGGAATGGCAACATGTGGGAAAAGCCAAGAATTTGGGGCATGGACAACATGAGTTTTTGGACCAGTGGTTTGGGGAAAGCCAACGGGACACCACCCATTTTGTGGGTTCCCCATCTGACAAACCCATGGTTGTGGAAAATTTTGTTCGGGGCCAGTTTCTGTGATTGAAGGGACCCTGAACGTCATGGGCATGGCCCTTTTTGTATTACCGAAAGACACATTCTCCACGATGCAAGGCTTCGACGAGCTACGACACACGACTCGGCTCACTGTCAGGAGCTGCAATGCGGTGATTAACGCCTGCGAGAAAGGGTGCCAGTGGCAGCGTGCCCTGCACTTCTTTCACGACTTTGCCCGATTCCAAGTTTTTGCGGACGTCGTATCATTCTCCTCGTGCATCAGCGCACTGGAAAAGGCGAACCAATGGGAGCGTGCTGAGAGCCTTCTTTCCAGCATGTTGCTTCACGGTCCGGAACCCAACATCATCACCTTCAACGCATTTATCAGCGCGCAAGCGATACAGTGGCAAAGGGCGCTGGACACTGCGCACAGCCTTCAAACACGCAGCATGCAAAGTGACGACTTCACGCTAGTATCCAGCATCAGCTGTGCTTCGTGGCCTGTGGCCAACCAACTGCTGGCGGAGTCCAAATCCAGCAGCGCTGAGTGCAAGCAAGCGTACAATGCTCTGGCCGGATCCAACTTGCGATGGTATCACTCTGTGTCCTTGTTGTCTGGAATGGCCACGTCCTGGATTGAGACAAGCACTGTTTCTTGACTGCTTGCTTGGATCTTGAATATGTATATCCTCACTTACCAACAAACAAGTTGACCACTAACCAACAAAAAGTTAGCTGCTGTTGGCAACTTGGTCATGTGGATCTAACCGACACACAGGTAAGCTTTTGCACCACCCATATTTCCTCCTTATTGCCGGTTTAGCGATTTTAGCTGCACGATTCAATGGACTTGTCCTGCCCGTAGTTCAATCAGGGATGATTGTTTTTCCTGCTTTCCGCCGCCTTTTGCCACCAAGGTTTGTGTGGCCGCCATCTTGCGATCGCTGCGAAGCTTCTGGGAGACGGCTCTGGCGTTGTCGGCCGGCATCAGTTCCCCCACCAGGATCAGCACCATGGCACAGGCAGAGAGGTTGCGTTGTGTTGCGGGTACCCTTTGAGGGGTGGTGTTCAAGGGAAACAAACACGAAACCAGCCATTTCGCATAAATGTCAAAGGGAACTCACTTTCACTCCAGGGAAATTTAGACAACTAAAGTGGTCTACCCGAAGCCAAACCCATGGTGAATCGCTTGGGGGAACTCCTATGGTTATGACTTTCAAGAGTCGGAACCTCCTCACAAGTGGGTGGAGATGAATCCCCGAATTCTGATGTCGGCCCACCCAATGTGGTGACATGGTGTTATATCCCATCAACCTGCAATGCCCCCAGCAGGCCTCGCAGTGGCGATTGGCTGTCCGCCTCTTTCATCGCATAAGTCTGGAGCGCCTCGACGAGTCGCTGGAGCCCGCGAACGCCGCCATTTCGGCCTGCGACGGAGGGCCGCAGTGGTCGCTGGCGCTGGAGATTCTCAGAACCGTCAGGTACCGGGCAGGGCAAAAGTTGTTCCAACCGACCCCTTTCTTTGGGAGGGAAGCGAAAAGGAGATGGTTTAAACAACAGTTTAAGCATGTTCAAACAAGGGGATGAATCGGCCAACCCTGGAAAGGCGCCCAAAGGTGCGGACCTACAACGTAGTAATTAGTGCTTGCCAGGAAGGCGCCTGCTGGCTTCTGCCCCTCTCATTTTTGGAAGACATGGAGAATTCGCTTCTAGAAGCTGATGCCATCACCGTCAATTCGATGCTTACCTGCTGCGAGAAGGCCAAGCGCTGGGAGTTGGGCTTGGTCTTGGCTCGCTCCGGGAATTCGGGTGTAACGCTGACTGCCTCAGTGGCCACCATGGCCACCTCGGGCTTTTGGGCCAAAGCCCTGTGGATGTTCCGAAGCGCAAGCGGCCCAGAGCCCAGCACCTTGTGCCTCCAGCTGGTGTTGGATGCATGCGAGGTGCAAGGCGAGACTTTACGAGCGGTGCATCTTTTGGAGACCGTCCATGAAACTGGTTCTCGGCTCCTGCACTCGAGCCAAAAAAGTCACGTGCCCATGGCAAGAATCTGGGTGTGTCTTTTTTAAGGCTGAACCCCCAAAATGGCTTAGATTTTCCCTGGTGGTATCCCTTTCTAAACTGCTCCCGAAAAGGGCACCGAGCCTCAACAAAGACACCCATATGCGAAGCGCGTGTTTTGAGGAGAGGAGCGATTTCCACCTTCTTTTACGGATGGACGAGTCAAAGTGCTCGGCTCAGCAAATGGGCCGATGGTTCAGTCTGACCCAATCTCACATTGCCGCTTTTGTGGACATGGGCGTATTTTCTTGCTGGTACGCTTTTGAAAAGGGGAAACCCTACTTTGAGACAAACCCAATCGAACAAACGAGCCGCCCTCCGATTGCTCCCGCGAGGTATACTTTTCCAACCATCAAACATGCGGCGATGGAGAACGACCATCGCTTGGACAAGCAGCGCGATCCTTACGTCAGGGTTGAGTAAACAGAAATTCAGATCTTCAGATCTGAAATCTCTGTGTGCGCGTGTTCGTTCTGACCTGACGCGAGCAACAGCAACACATGCATCTTTCGCTCGGCAGAAGGCAGCGTCATTTGTCCGTACATCATGCTGTCACTCGAAAGTGCAACCTTGCCCAGCCGAGGATGACTGATTTGAGCAAGATTCGTCGATACATTCCGTCGGCGGTTTACAAGCAGATTGAGTGTGGTCGTAGCCTCAGACCTGTCAAAACAACGGTGAATGCCACCATACCAGATCACCTGAGGCACGCTCACCTATGTGAATGAGATGCGGCACATCTCCACAATCTTCATCAACGGATCAGGTGCGTGGTCACTGTTCAGGGAAGCCTAAATGGGTTCTAACAAATGGGTTCCAGCTTGGACGATCAGGTGTGTAGCATCCAGGAAGCCATTTGTTAGAACCCATCCAACGGGCCAGTCAAACTGTGACGGAAGTGCGATTGATCCGCCGTGCCTGAGGCTTGGACATCATGTCAGAGAAGGGCCCGAGCATCGCACAGGACAGATGAAAGAAGGTAGCTTCCACCACCATTGAACTTGAAAGGGTCTGTTAATACTCTGCTAGCCCTTCAGGAAGCGAACTGTGTACTCTTCCTCCAGCATGAACAGCTTCTCCAAGTAATATGCAAGTTAGACTCGAGCTCATCGCAGCGTTGAAATCATCGCAGCGACAATGCGACTACCAAATCTTTCTGCTAGTTCGCTTTTGAAAACCACCCCAAAGAGTGCCGAGCCTCAACAGAAGACGAACAACAACTACACCCCATGAAGGATGCCTTGGAAGGCGGGAACCTCCGGCTCGGAAGACATGCTGCGACACACACCCATTGTTGGTTTCGTTGAGGCCCAATCGGCCCACATTTGAACTGGGCGTGTCTTTTTTGAGGGGGGTACCCTTTTGAAAGGTGTTGAATGAAAAACCATAAGATGTTAGCATCGCCAATCTGGAGACAACCCAAATTTCTCCAGGAGTTGATGTCCTCGGTGCAGCAGTGCTGCTACCAGCATGAGGGCACTCTCAATAAGTTTCTGATCGATGACAAGGGCATGCTCTTCCTCCTGGTTCGAGCCCGAGTTTGTTCGAGGGACTTGTGGTCCTTGTGATTTTGAGGACCCGCAAATCGGCGGTGTTCCCTGTGGTTTCCCTTTAAAACAAGAAACAAAAGGGTAGAAGACAGTCCCATTTCGAGCTGCAACGAGGTCTTTGGCTTGCCACCTCTGGTGCACACAGATGATCCGACCCGTGCTGTGCTTGCTTGCTTTGACATGGTCAAGGCCTGGGTGGGGGTTTGAGCTGGAGTGGGAGAGGATTGTGTTTTTTTGGGTACACCCCAAAAGGGGGCGAGTGAAAGGGAAGCTAAACGGCAACCGAAACAAAAGCAACATGGGTAACATGGGGGTTTCGCTTCTATTTTCACACACCCACACACCCACAGACACAAGTTCCTTCTCTTCCTCCATCCTTCGCTTCAGAAACCACACGTTTTCCTGGTTCTGGTTGACAACAACTTTTTGAGAAGGATCCTTCCCTAAGAATCTTGGCCCCGCAAGGCAACTTTTGAGGTCCAAAACCTTATGCAGATCCCTCTGCCCTTTCAAAATGGAGGCTCCCTTGTGATGCTGGTAATCCCCTGAATTGGTGGTTGAGATTGGTGGTTTGGGGAATTGAACCCCTTGATTGGGAAACCACCCTTGACCTCAAAGCCACAAAACCTACACCAAAAAGGGCGAAGCTGAGAAATGGAAGGCACATCTATGGCACTCAGCCGTTCCGCGATTTTCAGGTCTTTAAAAAGCTCCAGCTCATTGGAAAGTTCGGTGTCACCACTGGTCGTAGCTACTGCCCATGCCCCAGTGCAGTGCGAGGTGTGTGGAATGATGTTTTTAAGGCTCGGTACCCTTTTGAGGTTGGTTAAAGGGGAAAGCCAAAGGCGAAGCACCATTTCAGAGGACCCCCAGTTAAAGAAGCTGGTTTGCTGTGAGTCAACGCTTGGCACTGAGGTGGCGTTTGTGGCAGCGCGCGCCGCATGGAGTACACAGTCCTGGGTGACTGCGTAAACTTGTCAGTGCCGAGCTCAAGAGTTTTGAGCAACGGTCTATTTTGCCGCAACCTAGTTTTGTGAGGGGAATGACATTGCGTACATGCGCCCCAAATCAGTGTGTGATAGGACATGAAGGTTACTCACCAACGTCCAGTGTCATTAGGCCACTACATGAACCGTGGTCCACAAAAGTTCACAAACGTGCAAAGGCAAGAAAGAGGCAAAGGGCGTGACGTGGTAACTGTTTGGTTCGGTTAAAACAACAGCTCGCAACCTAAGGTTCTTTTGTTTTTCCCCAACAGCTGGAAACTTTGGGGTCTCAGCCCAGATAGGCTCCGGGGTGGTCCGGGGCGGCCTTGAGGTAAGGTTCCACGAGGGTTCCACCAGGGTTCCACCAGGGTTCCACCAGGCTTCCACCAGGGTTCCACTAGCTTTCAAGGTTCCGTGGATTGCCCTGGAGGGAAGCAGTGTGTCGTGCGCAAGGGCTGCGGGGTTGTCCGGGGTGGTTTGAGGTAAGGTTCCACGAGGGTTCCACGAGGGTTCCACGAGTTCCACCAAGGTTCCACCAGGGTTCCACCAGGGTTCCACCAGGGTTCCACCAGGGTTCCACCAGGGTTCCATCAGGGTTCCACCAGGGTTCCACCAATTTCTTCAAGGGCTGCGGGGTGGTCTGGGGTGGTCTGAGGTAAGGTTCCACGAGGCTTCCACGAGGGTTCCACGAGTTCCACCAGGGTTCCACCAATTTCTTTGAGGGCTGCGGGGTGGTCTGGGGTGGCTTGAGGAAGGTTCCACAAGGGTTTTTAGCAGGGTTCCAGGGTTCCAACAGGGTTCCTCCAGGGTTCCACAAATTTCTTCGAGGGTTGTGGGGTGGTGCGGGATGAGACGAGGGTTCCACGAGTTTGACCAGGGTTTCACCAATTTCTTCGAGGGCTGCGGGGTGGTTTGAGGAAGGTTCCACAAGAGTGGTCCGTCTTTTGAGGTAAGGCAGGGTTCCACGATCTGCGAGGGCTGTAGGATGGTTCATGCAAGGATTCCACAAGTTCCACAAGGCTTAAAAAGGTTCCACAAGGGTCCACAAGGGTTCCAGAAATGTTCTGCAAGGTTCCATGGTTTGCCCTGGAGGGAAGCAGTGTGTCGTGCGCCCGCCGTCTGAAAAGCCATCGGATTTTTTGGGGCTCAAGATCGCTTGGCTCATGGGCGGAACACTAAGCAAAACCGAAGTCAATGGATTTTAGCACACGTTCACTGTTTTGTCACTTGCTCACTTGCCCAGGCAACGCGACCCGAGATGTTGGCTTTGTGGCAAATCAGATCACGTTGCTGCGGGACTCACGGTGCAGCAGAGTAAATGCTTGGCATTGCTGAGTATTACTTGGTGGGCTTTGGGTTCCAAGAACGCTCCACGAGGTTTCCGCCAGGTTCCTGAGGAAAGGTTCCAGCAAAGTGTCACGCTGAGTTCTACGAGGGTTCTACGAGGACAGTTTGCGAGGTTCGCCCGATTGCACCGTCGGGGCCTGATCGGCCCCGATTGCGCCGTCGCAGGCCCGACTCAGTCGGGCCCGTCAACTGTACCAAGCTGGCGTCGCCTATAGTTTTGCTATAATATGGCTGGGGTTGCACCACAGGACCATCGGGCCCCGATTACACCGCCGGGCCCCGATCGAGCCCCGATCGGGCCCCGATCGGGCCCCGAGTGCGTGAGGATTCTGGGAGGGCGTGGTGCTGTTGGGGATATCGCCTGAGCTTATTGTTTTTTGTTTTTATTGTTTTTGGGGGGTCCAAAAGTTGTTTTTCTTGGGAAGGCCATTCGTATTTTCACACATGACGCTTGCTCGGCTTCTGATGGATCCGATGGATCCGACTCCAGGCTCGGCTCATGGCCAATGCGCCTCCCAACGGCATCCTCTGTGACGACATCACGAGAAAGCGCTCCACCACCGAGGCGCAAGCTGCGAGCAAGAGCGCTCGCTCCGCTTCTCAGGTTGGTGGTTTGAGTAACCGCGAAGTAGGCGTCTCAATTGGGGGGTGTTCCCTCGGGTCGGGAAATTGACCTAGGAAGTCCACCTTGGGTATGCCTGACAGAATCAAGTCTCAAGTTGTTCCTCTTTTTGGTGCTTTCAAACAGCGCCTCTTCCCCTGAAGCGGTGAGTTTCGCTTGCAGGGGATGTCTTTTTCGAAGCTCAGTTTCTCGTCCGCCGGGCTCAGATCATCTACAACGCCCTGGCGCCCATCAGAGTGAAGGGCAAGGCGCGCGCTCTGATCGCTTTCGAGCCCAGTGTTGGACCGGGTCCCTTCGGAGATCTTCACATGGGTGGCTCGTCCTTTTTAGGAGGCTCGGTGAACCAACCAAGAGGCGTGAAAACCACCATTGTTGGGGGTTCTCCCGGTCTCCCAAAAAGACCTGGTGCATGCCGTTTGAGGTGCCCGAGACCCAGGTGCTTTTTGCGAGAAGGAATCGATTTGTTCAGGAGAAGCCGATCGAGATCTTCCAGCCAGTGAAGAAGGAATTCAGCAACAACATTGGCTTGAACAGGAGGGGGACCCGACCTTAGTGCCTTAGTGCTGGCTGCAGCGTTTTGTTTGACAACCAAACCTGATTCAGCCCAAAGTCTTAAGGAAACAAAAGAACGCTGTTTACACAGTAGTGGTTTGAGGAAGATGAAAAAGGCGGACCTTGGTCCTGCCAGAATCGTGCACGTTAGTCATGCGAATGCACTACACTCTGCTACTGGAAGTGGGTGTCCTCGCGATTGCATTCTGAGGACCATCTCCTTCCCCTGGCACCAGAATGCATTTGGAGGGATGTCGTCAGGAGGCGCCGCATGTTACATGACACGAAGCGGAGCGGTCAGAGAGAGAGAGAGAGAGAGAGACAGACACAGACACAGACACAGATACACAGACACAGACACATGGGTGTGGCTCAAAAATTGGTGGCCACAATGGAACCCTGGTAATTCCCCTGGCTCTTAAATTTTCAGCCACACCCACCCGTACACAGAATGGCCTGAGGTCTCTCGGTGTCTGAATTCCAAGACGGTGTCATCCGCCTTTGCAGCATCAAGTCCTGGTCCGGCATCTCGCGGGCGCCGGCCTGAATGCCACAATAGTGGCTGGATCTGGCAGATGGGCGTGTCGTTTTTCGAGGGGATACCCGTTTGCCCAAAATGGTCTTCGGTTTTCCCTAGCCCCAAAAGGGTACCCTTGCAAAAAGAGACACCCATTTGGTCGAATAAGCAAAAAAACGGAAGACAAAGGGAAGCCATTTTGGGGGGTCCGGGAGTTTGAAGAAACACTTTCTGATCGGATAGGCCTCAGAGCTGCTGGGCGCCGGTTTCCGCAAGGAAATTCACAGTGACAAGGCGGCTTAGGGGCTTTGGTTGTGGAGGGAAACCACAAGGAACATCATCCTTTCTTTTCGTTTTCTCTTTTGTGGGGGGGGGGGAGTGGGGGGTTCCCTAAAAGAGACGCACCCGGATAGGTGTATCTTTTAAAAGAGCCATTTGGGTCCCCCATTTTGAACCCATGGGAACTGTCTACATTTCCCGCAACATCCGGGAGACTCTCCACTTTGCCCACATCCATTACGGGAACCGCATAATATGTTGACAGAGGCTCAAAAGACCTCCTGTACTCTGGGTTGGTAGGACCATGACCCACATGCGGAGTCATTGCTCGACTGTACTCAGTCACTTCAGCAGTGCCCAAAATCCCTATTGGCCTTTTGAGTAGTTGGTTCTTCTGCCTGGTTTCATAGGATTTACAAGGGCTATTCAACTAGAAGCTTGATGAAATCAGATGATACAGGTGTGTCCTAAAATGGGGACCCCCAAACAGCATTTTGGTTTTCCCTTTAGTTTCGCTCTGGAACCATCCAAAAGAAAGGCACTTTCAAAAAAGACAGACCCATATAAACCATTATGGCCATATTGGTGGAACCAGGGCGGTCAGCTCGGGTGAAATAGGTCTGCTCATATCCGGCCAGGCCGTCCCAGTCCCGAGCGAGCCGTCTGCTGGATCGAAGCCGCCCAAGGGCAGTCCCTTCTGCGATGGCGGTGTTGTGGCCTGGGTCCCAGAAATTCCCAAAGGGGTGGATTTGGGTGTGTCTTCTTTTGGACCTCTCCATAGGCTTAACCCAAAGGTTTTTTCTTGGGGAGTCAACCACCCCTTGGTTTAAGTCTATCTTGAGGCAGTCCCTCACAGAATTCAGGGGTTGCGGTTTTGATCACCTTTTTGGCCAGCTTAAGGTGAGTTCCGTGAGGTGTGCGGGGACATGTAGGGAACACGGAGATTGAATTGTCGGCCTTCAGGTCATTGAAGGTGCTACCGGCACGGGCAAGATTGAGATGGCAGAGCACATGGCCTTGATCTCAATCCAAAGGCTTGCTATGCTAAGCCATCATTTGAGGTTCGGACAATTTATCTTGATTTGTTTTTTCCATTTTCGGAGATGACATGCCATAGACAAGAACATTTGTTTCTCTTGCATCGAGGTGGTGCACTCGATCACGACCTTCCGCATGTTTCCTGCCGGCGGCCATAGCAATGTGCAAGAGAAAGAGAGAGAGAGAGAGAGAGAGAGAGGCAGAGAGACTGAAGGGGGCGCTCTCAGCTACCACAAAAGGGGGTCCCTAAGGTTTGTGTCAACATAGTGTTGGTTTCCCTTTAAACCAATCCTTAAGGGTCTACCCCAACACTGAAGTGAGGCTTACCCTGCTGATCAACGTTAAACATCACTTTTTGGGCCAATCTAAAGTGAGTTTCCTTGTGGGGTGATGGCTAAGGTTGGAAATATAGGGAACCCTATGGCTGGTGGACATACTCCCACCAAAATGATGTCCACCAAAGGGCCCCCAAATAAACTTCCCTATAAGTCTCAAATATTTCCTTTCAAGTCCATACATTAGTAGTCGAGGGCCTTGCCCCGCAAATAAATTGCTTCATACATACCCCCCACCCTACATTTTTTTTCATCTTCCATCTTCTACCCTTATTTGTTTTCATCATTTTTCTACATTCCTTTCTGTCCATCTCATCCGTTTTTTTATCATCATTTTTCCAAAATTTTCGCCATCCTTTTCTCCTTTCTCCTCGCCTCATTCATTTCACCAACTACCCTCCAAAATGTCATTTCCTCAATCTCCTCGCCTCATCCATTTCAAAAAAATAAATTTTGCAAAATATATTGCAAAAAATATTTGTCATCAAAAAAATATTCGAACTGTCTAAAAACGATTTGTCCATTTCCCGGACAAAAAATAGAACAGCAACAACATCACTCCCTCCTTCGTTTCATCAGTTTCATCATATATTTGTTTGGGGCGTGGTCGCATAGCTTGCGATACATTTATAGTCAGGAAAAATGTCTTCAAATATGTAATCTACATATTTATCAATATCGCCAATGTCTATATATTTGATATTGTCTTTTCCTATTATTGAATAAATATATTCCCAGAAAAACAAATTAACTAGTAGCCATACTTGATATTTAGTGTTGTAGTAAGACCATACATGATATTTAGTTATTCTAAATTCATTCAAGACCTCGTTTATTTTATCTTTACTTAATAAATGCCAATCAATCGCATCAAACATGCCTCGAAATTTTTTAACAAATGCTTTATATGGTTTAATTGCGCTTGTCCCTCCAAACCTTTTAATCAAATCTTTATTATTGAAGAACTCATCAATTTCTTTTTCAAATGACTTTCTTGCAATTGTATGGTAAAAACATACAGGACATCGTTTTTGATATCTCATAAAGAATGTCAATTGTAATTGAAACTTTGTATATCCCTTATCCTTATGTTCTTCAACAAAAAACTTTTCAAGGTCTCTTGTTATACAGCATTGACTACAATATACATCATATTCACTTATTTTATTACATAGATTGGCGGGTAATAACTTATACAATGTTATATTAACATCATTCCTTTTAGTTGTACAACATTCGCACTTTGAATAATTAAATAACATTTCCACTGTAATATATATAGTGTTTATTTCTTTAAATACTTTTTTACAAGAAATACAATTACATATTGAAATATAATTATAACATATAATATTTTACATGTTATTATTATATTATGATTATAATTTAAGTTCAGGATAATAATTTAATTGATACATCTTACCTCTTTCATACATCATTTTAAAAATATTATTAATATCTCTCACTGTATTTTTAACATTAAATTTTTCACTTTCAATATATGATTTTATGACTTTTTTTACATCAACGCCGGGTTTACTATAATAACTCAACATCCATAATATGTCATTAACCATTTCACACTTTTTCTTACTGATTTTAAGAAACTGTTTAACATAATCGTAAGGTGGTCTTTCATACACAGTTAAACATATCAATATTTCATCTTCAACATTTCTTTCATCTATATTTTTAAACGCCAAACAATTTTCTATTATATTTTGATATCGTCTCCATCTTCTACAAGTTCTACATATATTTTCTTCGTCCAAAGAATAATCAATAATATTATTAACTATTCCATTAGGCAAATTCAATTTATATAATTCCATATTTTCCTTTTTGAAGTGGCAACAGTCGTAGCATTTCTTATTGATATAATTATTGATTTCGGTTTCCACCATTGCTATTATAATATATATAGTGTGTATTTATTTAAATATTTTTTTTACAAGAAATAAAATTAAATATTGAAATATAATTATAACATATAATATTTTACATGTTATTATTATAGTATGGTTATAGGTAAATTTCAGGATAATAATTTAATTTGATATGTTCATATTTGGTAAAATTATGTTCATGAATGTATTTTAGTATGTCATTAAATTCTTTCAGTTTACTTGATGGTACAAAATGTTTTAAACGCGTAGGGTCATGTAAACGACTGTTAAATCCAGATCTGTATTTCTTAAACCTGCTTGGTGCCAAATTAAACTGTAGCTTTAATTCTTCTTCCTTTGGGAATTTATATAACTCATTAAAATAGTATACTGTAGAGACATCACTAAAATATCTATTCGCGTGGTCAATTGTCTGGTTCAAATGAATGCAGTTATCGCATTTGCATTTACGTTCTCCATATTCTTTGATTAACCTAATGGCATTGAATGGCAACTTCAAATAAAGTAATAGTGATGAATTGTAATTATGTTTGGATAGTTCGTGTTTGAGAATCTTTTCTGTTTCATTTTTGTTTAAGTCATCCAAGAATTTATTAATAATCTCTTCTTGCTCTTTCTCTGTAAATTCAACCATTTCTATTATAATATATATAGTTTTTATTTCTTTAAATACTTTTTTCCAAGAAATAAATTTATACCTTTAATAACTCATGTCTCAAAAATGCCCTGTCATAATTTTCAATATAATAATATTCCTGTCCTAACTTCTTTTCAATCTTTGCTATTTTGTAGGTTTGTTTAGTCCATACTCCTACTCTCTCCTTTTCATTCGGTCTCCTTTTCCTGAATATCTTAACTTCATTTCCTACATTTAAATCTGGATAAACTCTATTTCTTTTGGCTTTCATACCTAAGTTTAAACTCACTTCTAATTGATGTTTAGGCTTTCTTGCTTCTGACGGTGTTAAGCCGTGCGAAGTGTGCTTTATTCCATTGTTATAGGTTAATATAATCTCGTGTATGTAGTCTGTCCATTGAATAGCCTTTCCTCTTTTCTCATGGTTTTCAACCCTCTTATACAAGCTATCTTTAAACGTCCTTATCGCCCTCTCCGCAAATGCTGGGTGTCCTCTGGTTCTATGTAATTCTATTTTTTCATCTTTCAAAAAATCTATAACACTTTGATTGTTATAAGCTCCTTCATCGTCAATATAAATTAGTTTGGGCTTTCCACCCATTTTTTTAATACATTCCATCAGTCCTGCTAAAATGTCCGCTGGCTGTTTTGACATAAGCGGGACAACAACCATATACTTAGAAAATATGTCAATACACATCATGCCAACTTTCATTTTTTGTTTAGGGATATCATTAATGAAAAATAAATCAATTTGAAACTCATAATATGCGTTAGGAGCTACAAATGAATTCTGTCCTCTTGGCTTGGCTTTCTGTTCTACATTCTTCCTAAAAAACTCATTAATATCGTTTATAGTTATTGTGTTATCCTTTTTTCTTGCTTCTTGTAAAGTGCGGTTCTTTGACCCGAAGCCTCCCTTATCATAATAAACATTATTAATAATATCTTGCTTAGATGCCATATAAAATAAGATAGATATTATTTTTCCCGGCGATTACAGTTTAAACAGTAAGATATACAGTTTTCCTTATGATGGGCATAATCGTTGTTTATTCTTTGGGCTGTCATATTGCTATGAATTAGCCCATTGTTTATTTCTATTTCAAAGTCAGTTCCGCATTTATTACATCTTGTTCCAATTCTGTTAAGCAACCATTCAACATCTATATATTTATTTTCATTTATCTCCCTTTGAGACTTCATGTCTTGTAATTTATATTGTTTAATCTTATGTTCTAAATATCTGGCTACTTGTGCTTCATTTAAATCAGTATCATCTACGTCTGCTTTGAAAAACTTGACTTTATTGATATCTCTGCATCTCGTGAGGGCTGTCCAAATCCACTCACGGCTGACCAAATGTGATTTATCCCATTCGTGTATAGTAATGCTTTTATCTAGAGAAGCCCCTTGAGACGAATGACATGTAGCACAATACGCATGTATAAAGTGCTTGTCTAAAGTCGTGGTGTTTGTCATGAATATAGTTTTACTTTTGATATCTTGGATTTCTACTTTCCAATCATCAATACTAATAATTTCATAAGTAATATTTACATTAAACACCTGCCCCATTATCCTTTTTATAAACTCTGCATATCACATGCTCTCCAATTTCATATTTATCTGTCTTTCCTAAATTATTTCTTACGGTCTTGCTTACCCATTTGCACCTAGCATTAGTATAGGCTATGTTATGCTCTCCTTCCATGATGTCGCTTGTAGTTTCAAAATGTTTATTTACTATTTCCTTAATGGGCAGTTTATTTTTCCAAATGTCATTATATATATCATTCAATTTAATTTTATCTTCTTCTGTCTTAAGTCTCTTAGATATCTTAAGATAAATCTTATATTTAAATATTTGATTAAGACAGTTGTTTAAATATGTCTCGTGGTCCTGGGTGTTAGTTAAATCAGCTATAGGTTTCAACTGCTTCCCGTCAGCAGTTCCTATAATTATCTTCTCTGGGTACGTATCCTTAAACTCCCTAACTCTGTTCAAAATATAATTGCCCGCCATACCTAGCTCATCAAACACAATACAATTATAATCAGAATGGTCAAATGTCGGTAGTCTTTCTCCAGCTTCTATTGGAATACTGAAAAACTTGTTTAATGTTACGGCGTCGGCTTCGGTTTCTTGCTTCTGCTTGTTATTAGAACATACGAATAACACATTATAACCTAGATTTTTCATATATTCGCCTATATAACTCTTGCCGCTTCCAGCCAGTTTTGCTTTTATCAACACCGGATTAC